TACACACACACACACACACACACACACACACACTCACATCCATGACTAGCAAGGGGTTAGCTATTGGTTATTTTCTGTCGATGGTGTTCGGAAAACTTGAAAAATAAGATCTACCAAGTAAGCCGTGATAAACTTAGGGTTACATATTTCATAGCCTTTTCTATACACGTAGAGATCTAAATGCTGGGAAAAAAACCGTAGACACGATATAATGTATGAAATTATTAAGGCCATCTGCGGGTGAGATTTTCCCCACTTTTACCCAGTTTGACCCTACAGTTTTTCCTCTCCATTTTTTAAACCTACATCAATTTCCATCAAAGTTTTGAACGTCCGCTTCAATCAATTATGTTTCAAAGTCATTTAAAAATGGGTTTTAAAAAAATATTTTGTAATTTTGGGTCATGTTTTTTAATATTTTCTTCATTTTTTTCCCACAAATATCTATTTTTATGACTTTAAATTACATCTTCTCTTTTATTTTTCATCTGAGTAGCTTCATTATTTTACACAATGTACATCCATAGGAGACCTGTACTGAAATAGAGCCCTTTTTGAAGATAATCTAAGATTAGAATTACAATCAGTGTTTATGTTGGGAATTTTGAGATTTTTTTGCTCTTCATCTATGTACACATTTCTAGAGTTCATGATTATTTTCTTAATCATGATATTACAAATCTGGCGTTATTTGTTCATTCCATAGGTGTTTTAGTTTGTACTTGCTAAAAATGAAAGCCAACGGACGAAAACTAAGAGAGAAGATAGCTTTTGAAATTTGATGAAATTAACCAACATGGCGGATGTTTGCTTGGTTACCACGGTAACCATGTGCTTATAATAATAAATAATTACTTGAATTAATTCTTTAATATCTGACTTATATTAATATATCATCTTTGCTACCTATGGTCAAGGGATATGGATTTTAGAAATTCCACCGGCCTTAATCTTTTCGGTCAATCTATTCCAATTTTAAGCCCCCCCCCCCCCCCCCCCCCCTTTTTCCCTCCTCGCTCCCAAGAGCACCTAGGACCCGGACCAATAGGTAATTTTCCCCAACCTCTATTTCCAGGCCTGTACATGATGTACTGGAATAAAAATATGGGAATGTATTACACTGTAACGTTTCTGGAAGAACCACTAGTGCTGAGCGATTTTGATGCAGTAAGACTTCATCGATGCTTTGCAGCGTGAGATCACTATTCGTGCTATCTGAGTGCCATGTGTGAATGGTTTTATCGTATAATTTTATATAAAGTTATGGGAAGTCCATCCACAGCTTCCGCATTTCAACATTCACTATTATTCACAGCGCTATTTACTGCTGGCTTGCACACAGTGCAATACGATGACGTCACATTACCATTCATAATGCTTTGAATTTTGAAAAGAGGAAGGGGAGCTCATTGCGACATCCTGCTGTTAATTTTAGTTTCTTGTAAAAATATTCGCCTCGCTTCGAGGGTCAAGTGTCCTTGGTGTGACTAGTGAATATCGAATAGTAGTGAATGCTTTATAGTGGCATATGTTTTATAACTCTTATTGGTTCCATACATCACCTCTCTCGTAACCATCAAGCACCATTTAGATCTATATATATAATGTAAAATTTTGCTTTGGTTTGAAAAAAAATATAGAAGAAAATATTAATCTGAAAAACAAAATTAATTTAAAAAATCATGCGGCATTCGAATGGCTCTGTGACGCTTTGAATAGCTGTGAACAGCGTAAAAATTGCTGAATGTTGAGTACTTGTAATAACGTCGAATGGGCACAGCTCTAACCGCCACCAGACGCTCAAAAGACTCGACAGCAAGTTTTGTTTGTACCTGGCGACTGTGTTTCAAAGCGTCATTTTAAAATCTCCTTTGTGTGACCAAAGATTCTCTACTACCAAGATATTCCACTTCCTCTTTGGGCAAAGCACATGATCGGCTACGCCACACGGCGACGCAAGGTTGATTTCTTCGCCGACTGCTTGGGGTGTGTGCGTGCGTGTCCGCGTGTGTGTGTGTTTGTGTGTGTGTGTGCGTGTGTGTGTTTGTGTGTGTGTATGTGTGTGTGTGTGTGTGTGTGTGTGTGTGAATGCGTGTGTGTACAACCTTGTTAGGGGAGGAGAAGAGAAGGTACAGAATGGTACAGGCTAAATCTATGGAACGAGAATTGCTGAGATTGTTTAATTAAGATAACAAAAATCAGCACCAAAAAACAAAACAACAACAACAAAAAGAACGAAAGGAAAAAGAAAAGGAAGGGAGGTTCGGGTTTGGTCGGTAGATGAGACGGAAGAAAAGAAAACTGAAAATCAGCGAACAAAAACTAAGGAAAATAATTATTATTTAATGATTTTAGGCGGCAAGATGTTCAGCACCGATCGAACTCAAGTAGTTTGCTGTCCAGTCATTTCATATCGCAACGACGTTATATTGTCGTAGTTAGTCTAGCTCGTTGTCACTGGTCGACATCATATTAATTACAGAATTACCCGACAAATGATGACATTACGTTCTATTAGAGTAAATGCTTTGTCCAACTTAAGAAGTGGATATATTGTGGCGACATGTTGCACTCTTGCTTTACAATTTTTTAAAGACTTGATGTTTCGATCTTTAAAAAAAATGGCACATTCAAACAGTCCTTATCTCTTCTTAGTGATATCAAACTAGTTGTTTCCCCATCATCTGGGTCCTTGAAATACGACGACTCGTGCTGTGTAAAGAGAGTCACATTACCTCTCTCTCTCGAGAGAGCGTTTTCGATATTAGTCTTGTCAGATTGTTACATTTATTACATGAAAGTTTGATTCTGACTGCAAAGATCTGACCAAATTGATATCTTAATATTATGGATCCCTGTAGTCGTGTTGGACGAATTGTAAGTTAATGAAAGTTAAAATAAACTTGCTTCCGAAGAGAATACATCAAAGAAATCTCATGGAGACCAAACCTTGATTCCGAATAAAACAATATAACATCAACCTGTTGAAAACATGTGCTTGAAAAGCACATCTGATTACGAATTTGACGACAGTAATGTATATTTAACATTTCAGCCTGCTTCAAGCGTTCCAGCCCATGAGATGAAAGAAGACGAAGCATGTTTTCAGAATTAAAGTTTGGATATAGGATATTATGGAAAATTGGACAGCGAGGGCCCAGCTGATGTTGGATCGGTAACAACAATAAGAACAAGAACAACAACAACAACAACAACAACAACAACAACAACAACAACAACAACTACAACACCAACAACACCATCACCATCAACAACGACAACAACAACAGATACAACAACAACAACAACAACAGTGGTAGCAGCAGCAACAGCAGCACCACCACCAGCAGCAGCAGCAGCAGCAACAACAACAACAACGACAACAACAACAGCAACATCTATTTTCTTCATTCTGGTATTTCGTCTCCTTTTCCTTTCTCTTATTGTCCGTTCTTAGCCCATACATTTTGTTTCTGAAATCATACCGCGAAGACCTTTTTTTCTTTCCTGCAGGTGCAGCAGTTGTGATGCGCCGCAAGTTCTCAGCTTCTCATTTCTGGTCGGACTGTAGACGTCACAATGTAACAGTCGTGCTTTATATCGGGGAGCTATTCCGCTATCTACTAGCACAGCCGCAGGTTTAGGTTTAGTTTAGTTTTTAATAAAAGTTTTTTTTAAAACAGCTTTTACAACACAACTCGTTCATACGAGTCGCCGATAATTGTTAGAGGTGTTACAATTTAAGAGAGTAATATACAAAAGGGCTCTTCACCTGTCTCTGCTCTGGGCCGTCTTCTCCATCTCCAGCCTCTTGATTTCGCTCTAAGGTGGATCTCGACCTTCCTCTCTTTCTCCTCCCTTGGGGGTTCAATCTTAGGCTTTGTCATGTCACTTTGTTGGCTGGCTTTCTGAGTGTATGCTGTTACATGTAATGACATATTAAAAGGTCTTACTTGGAAAGAACAACATTTGTCCATACGGACCCTTGAAAGAAATGCAGTAAATCTTGTTCTCAATGTGACTTATACCGTTTTTACCCCTAAGGTCTTTAATTGTGTTAAAGAGGACGTTAGAATTTAAAAACAAACAAAACACCACCACTACCACTGCCAACATAACCACCATTACCACCTTAAAAATTTCAACAATAGTCCCAGTATCAACAACAAATCCACCGAAAATAACATCAAACACATAAAGGTAAATGTACTTTTCACTTCGCCAGAGCGAGCTCGACTCCAAGCACTCGGTGAGAGCAGCATTTGGCAACTGCCTTCGTCAAGACATCTGGCCAGAGGTAGAAAGACGCTTTCGTATTCCTCAAATCATGGAGTGCTTCGGAGCTTCTGAAGGGACTTCTACATTTGTGAACGCCACAGGGAAACAAGGAGCTGTGGGACGGCTGTCTCCACTGTTGGTGGGCACCATGGTTTTTAACGTGTCTGTCAGTCTTTGCCCGTGTGTGTGTGTGTGTGTGTGTGTGTGTGTGTGTGTGTGTGTGTGTGTGTGTGTGTGTGTGTGTGTGTGTGTGTGTGTGTGCGCGCGTGCGTGCGTGCGTGCGCGTGCGTCTGTCTTGGGCGGTCGGTTGTTAGAGCAGATTTTACAGTATAATAAAATGCAGTTCACATTGTCCAACATTGTGCTAGACAGGTGGGCATCTTGGACAATGTCGTTATGATATTATTTTTTTTTTTAAAGCAAACCGGAAAGCCCGTAATGCAGGAACTTAGAAGTGTTCGTTTAAACAGGTGACTATCCTGAACAGATGACTGTAAGAGCAGGTTCTACTGAATGTGTGTGTGTGTGTGTGTGTGTGTGTGTGTGTGTGTGTGTGTGTGTGTGTGTGTGTGTGTGTGTGTAATTTACACAGAAACTCTTTCTGAAACATAGAAGAAATCGACTTCATTTGTCCACCGCACCCTTAAAAATACATGTATTTCGTTAACAGTACTTTCAACATCGCAGCAACAACAACAACCGCAGCAAATAAATAAGTTAGCCTACCACATTTTGTAGCAACTAGAAAGTGAACTTAAAATTACATACTTTTATTTCCGAATGTATAGCCCACCACGACATACTAATTCACATGCTTCTTTTATTCCAATCATTATACAACGATGACAAAGCTCTTGTCAGATTCGACTACGCAACAGCGGTGCCACTACGGGATGAAAATGGGCGCTGTATAAAAGTGAACATAGGTACATGCACGTTTCTAAAAATCTTGTTTCACATTTATCAACATGTTTGTTATCTCATCACGTTCCAACAATGGACGCTTCTTTACTTTAACTCATCAAGTATCGTCCAGGGCTATGATGTGGTTGACAAGAAGTCGAATCTTTATAACGGCGTTTTTTAAACTTGAGATGTTTTACCAGTTTTCAGGGCTCGGAGACCCGGCCTTTAATTCAAGTAAGAGTTTTACGGCATATGCAAAACAATAAAGTCATATTAATGCCGAAGATAAGAGGTGTTACAAGAGAGTAAGAAACACAAAAAGATGTTTTATGGAAAAAGGGGGAGTAGACCACACACCAAAACACCCTCCAACCACTCGCATCCTACTTTTAAAATGACATTGCAAAGCTGAAAAGGATAGCAAACCCGTACATACCCGATTTAGAATTGGCAACGTTTTTGATGGCTAGGGTTCAGCCTATGGCCAGCACTGCCTCCCTGTCCCACTGAAGAACGAAAGTTCTTTCTGATCCTGAAAACACACAGAGCAGCACGACCTCTGTTCAAGTTCCAGTTACGTGAAAACATGGCAGGATTTAAAAAAAATTATATCAGCGACTGGTCTGCCTGTTCAAAAGCTGCTTCCTTTTCAGTTTTGTTCACATTTTGGACACGAAAAAAATAATTGGGCAGTGGAAAAAAACCCACTTATAAACTTTTTAAAAAAACATATAGGTCTATAGCGACAACTAAGAACTGAAAACACGAAAAGGATTTCGGAGCAGTTGAAGACGCCCAATACTGTGGGGGTCAAAGTAGGGTTAGCCGTGACGTCATGCGCAATTTAACTTATGCTAAGAATTGGGATTTGTAGTGAGCCCTTTTTCAAAATGACATGGAAAAAATGAGACGAAGGAGTCAGACATTTTCATAACCGAGTTCCATTGTTGTCTTTTTTCCTGTTCTAGGAGAGCCTGGGCTGTTCTTGTCTAAAGTTCCACCTCCGGAGTTGAAAAGTGGTACTTATGACATTTACCACGGATCAGTTTCAGACAATGAGAAGAAATTGGTCCGAAACGCATTCCAAGAAGGAGATGTGTACTTCAACTTTGGCGATGTGCTTTTCATGGATAAGGACTACTGGGTATATTTCCACGACAGGATCGGAGATACATTCAGGTTAATTTGTTCTTGTGGTTTTCAACTCATAGATGTAATAAGAAACGCCTTTTATTGGTCTGTCAGTCACAGAACAGTCTGCAAATCTTAACATATCTCAGGCAAAAGATAGTTGTAGTTTATGTTTCAATACTTGGAATGAACTTATTGAAATAATGGCCCTTTTGCATTGGAAACAAGAATGGGTAGGCACCAGGTTAGCTCATTTGGTATCTTGCTGAACTATGGAACGGATGTCTCTGGTTCGAATACCAGACTGGGTGTTCTTGAACTTGGTCTTTTTGTGGAGTTTTCAAGACTCTCAACTAATCTGGCTTAGTCCTGTGGGAGACGGATATTAAATTCCGAGGGCCTGCCTATCAAATAACCTAATAATGTTGATAAGGGCGTTGAACATATACATGCATACACACAGAAATGGGACTGATAGCGATGAAGAAAGGGCGGCGCCACTATCCTGCAGAATTTTTAATTTAAAAAGAAAACTCGACAAAGAAAACCGCTAATCACATTTACTCATTTAGGAACATAGTAATAAAAGGGCTCCCCCACTCCCCTCCCCTAACCCCCCACAAAAGACACCAGCACCAGCACCACCGCCAGCATCAACAACAACCCCCCCCCCCAAAAAAAAAAAAAAA